CGTTGGTGGGGGGGGGAAGCATAGACGGAGATGGTTAAATGACACAACAAAGATGAGCAGCTGACAGTTTGCTGCCGATCCTTCAGGAGCATTGTTTACATCCAGACAGGCGCTGCAGGCACCCCCCTCATCTCCATCTCTCCATCGCCCTGTCTCTCGCTCTATCATTCCCTCTCTCTCTCTCTCTCTTTCGCTTTGTCTTCCTTTCTCCTGGATGGGGGTGACATGTGGGGCAACGCAGAAGCTCAGCGTGGTTGGTGTGTGTGTGTGGAAAGAGAGCTCTTGTAACAAATATAGCCTCCACTTACACAATATCTCTTGCAAGTGCAAAAAAATAAAACACACACACACACACACAAATATAGCCTCCACTTACACAATATCTCTTGCAAGTGCAAAAAAATAAAACACACACACACACACACAGACACCACAGAGGCTTGAAACACCTCGCAATTAGCCTTTATCAGCCTAATGAAGTAAATACCACAGCATAATAAAAGCCTCGCTCTGCAGGGTTTACTATTTGACAAGAGAGATATGAATCAGGACAGCCCTTTAAAATTAGCCACTGTGGACGCGTGCATGCAGATGGTCGAGTGGCGTAAAGAGGCATAAAGATAAAAAGAAGCAGAGCTCGCTTTAAGGGCCGTACTACCTGCATGTTTTCTGGTTCCAGCCCCAACATGCATGCTTTACATTTTTGCTCAACCTTTATGGTTCTTGTTGGGTTGTACTGTTCCAGGCGGCCATTTGTTTTCAATCTTTTCCATGTGGCAATAAAACAAATATCCAATAAAAACAAAAACTTAACTTTCACACAAAAGAGCACGCTGGATGTTTACCGTCTCGGTAATGCACTGATGGACCTTCTTACTGGGTTTCTTTAAAAAATGCCTAAGATGCAAGAAGTTCATAAAATTCAGCAGCATGGTTAACTGTGATGGAAAGTGGATTTAATTTAGAGCAGAGGGGGGAAAAAAAGTCGAGTAAATCTCAACGATTCAGTTTTGGTGTCTTAATCAGAGCAAAATATATTTAATGAAATGGCTTTTAATTTAAAGACTGAACAGCACAGTTCATCCAAAAGGTTCTGGATGTATTATTTGATGATGAAATCTATACAATTTGTAGGATAAGAGCTGGAACATGAGTGGTGATGTCATTAGATCAGACGAGAGGGGACATCTCTGCTTCACCTTTTTGTTGTCAAGCAATAAGATCAGCTGTGTGATAACTGTAATAGTAAATATAATAACTCACAGAGCCTGAGTGAGTCCAGAACTAAAGCGCAGCGTCATTGCAGAATGGGTCCAATACCTGCAGCGCATCTGCATGTATGGCTATGAATCAGTGTGTGAGGTTGTGCGTTTAAATGCACTGAAGAGGAGAAAGACAGAAACAATACCACCCACACAAAGAGGGCATGCCAACACAAAGCCATGCAGATCCACACACACACACACGTCACCGGTAATCAGCAATAAGGCGGCTTCTGACCACAGCCCGACTACGTTACAGTTTTTTGTGCACGGATAAAGTCTTCGCGGAATTACAGAAGATGATTTAACGTTTAGTTCGGGAAACACGACACTCTCGCCCATTTACTTTCACCCCAACTCTCGAGCGCGGCCAGATGCTTTTGATATGTGCGTTTAATTTTCCAAACGGCTAAAATCATCGCCGGTCTTTTGATCACAGAGTAATATCATACGGTACCGCAGCTCAGGCGGACGGGTGGGTTTCATATTAAAAATAACTTTATCAGTTTATACAAGAAAAAATCAGGCATAAAGAGAAAGAAGCCGAGCATCTCTCAGCTCATTAAAGGACGGTCTTTGTCAGTTTATTTTAAGGTGTTCAGGAGTCAAGACTGCTGGGGGTCGTTTGAAAACACCGAGCAGTGAAAGGTAACCGATGACACTACTTACCTCCTCTGAGTAGTGATCTGAGGGAAGAGGGGGGTAGTCACACTGTTCTATCTTCTTACAAAGGGAGTAGAGGTTCATCTTATCCCCGTAGAACGGACTCTGTAGGGCTGCCATCTAAAGCATACGAAGAAACAGCCAAGTGGAGAGAAGAGAGGGACGGACAAGAGCAAAGGGTGACAGAAGTTAAATCATGAGTAAAACACACAAATTCCAGCATGTAAAATACAAAAGACATCGTACATATAAGGCTCCAGTTTCTTGCCTTTGAGGTGCATCTTATTGATAAAAGTAGTGACTCTGTATGCGAAACAAACACGTCTAAAGTTTTGGTCCATATCAAATCAGCACACCTTCATTTTTTTGAATGGTATAAAATTCAAGTGAACCAAAACAAAAATAAAAATCCATGAAAGCTTCCCCTAGCTTATGTGGGGTTTTTTCCCCTCCTCTAGTTTGTTGACCTTTTCTGTGATGCTGCTTTGAAAACTTGAAAATTTGTCTTTCCTCTCCAGAAAATGAAAATGAGAGGAAAGACAGAGGTGAGGAAAAGAGATGGGGCACGTGAGGAAAGGGGAGCAGGGAGGAGAGAATTTCTCAGTCTGCTGGAGCAGCAAAGAAACCGTCTTCTCGAGAAAAACAAATGCAAGCAAGCAGAGCAGAGGTAGGGCAAATGGGAACGGGAAGGAAGGATGGAGAGCGTGAGGAAGCCTTTGCTGGAGAGAGTGGAAGCAGGTGAAGAATCCTTCCTGCCTTTCTAAGGATAGTAAACTAGCACGCCGTGTTCGCCAGGCATAGTGACTGACTCACCTCCTATTTTTTAAAAGGTGAAGCCCACAGCAGACCTGCGTAACAAGCATCAGTTTTCCTCCTCATTCAGGGAGTTCAAAAATAAATACCGAGTTAAATTGAAATGTCTGGCTATTACCATCAGCAGGTATCGTTAAAGGTAATTAAGTGCTTGGGGGTTTTGCCTCGCTGACTGTTTTTTATTAATTTACAAAAGAGTGTTATATAGGAAAAGAGGGCTTGCAGTCAGTGTACAACCACCATGATGTGAAGTGAGGTTTTCATTAGGCATTCCTTGGAAATCTTATGCAAAAGGCTGCACTGTTAAATATGTATACCTACAGGTTTTGTGAAATCCATATTCCAATTCAATGCCCTGCACCTGTTTTTTGGCAGAGAGCCTTGAAATGTTGCTGCACATCTCAATGACTTCCAGGAGGGAGCGAGTGTCTTCTGGACCAATGTGAAAACAGGATTTAAGCTCACTGATGGACAGTCATTGCTCACATCTTCCTGTATGTTGCATAGTTCTGTTTCTAGACGTTGGACATGCTAATAACAAGGGAACGATGGCAAACTGGAATGAGGAACATGCTTCGCTATAAAAGGACAAGATAAAGAAAAAAAAAACACACATCACAGGTTTATCAGTGGGCAGATGAAATTTTACACGTTATTATTTCAACCACTTTCAGGTGTCCCTGCATTATTGTTAGAGAAAGTACGGTACGTGTTTGACAGCCTGCTAATTGGTGGTGTGAAAGCAGATGAGAACAAAGTCTCCACATAGGAATCCAAATGGAGTTCTTCCATACAGAACACAGCAGGTTAGTGTGAACGTGCCAGCTTCCGCAATATCAGGCACAGCAGAGACAAAACACTGCTACGTGAATAAGAGCAGCGAGGAAAAGGAAGCTGAGCTACGACGTGTTGTAGCAACAACAGGGAGTCGAAGCTGTGCTGCTGAATATACGTACATTTCACAGCAACTAGGGACAACAGTTCTGAGTTAAAAACAAACTTATTGGCTCATTCCACTATCCTTGCAGCATACTGAAGAAGCTATCGTAACACCCAGGACCACCGTTAGGTACCAGAGAAACTCGCCAAGTGACATCGGCTCCCATTGCAAGCGGCTACAGGAGTAACCTATTGGCTTTTCCCTGGAAGCGCCACGCAGCTTCATCATTTCAGGCTTCAATGAGAGATGTGTCACACGCTGACGGCGCAGAGACAGAAAAGTTCTTGTTTCCTATCGGACAGATTTTGACAGAGTCTCTGTCACAGCATCCAGTGGGAAGTCAAGATGACGGCAGCAGAATCTCAGTGGGCCATCTCTCGTCTGGACATAATTCATCATCGTGCATTCTTCTGCGCTCTTAATCAAACGGACAGATTAATACGGCACGTCCTCACCAAAATACACAACAACATTAAGTCAAGAGGATCTCCTTCGATCCGTCTCTCCTCGGACACCTCTCCCCCTCTGCTGAGCTCCACTACTGAGGCTGGCACAGCAGGTGGCTGACAGTGATGGGAAGTGTGTGTGTGTGGAAATGCATAGTCCTGTGTGTGTGTGTGTGCGTGTGTGTGCGTGTGTGTGTGTGTGTGTGTGTGTGTGTGTCAGCAAGGGTGCATTAGTGGGAGAGCTTCATATCTGTGGCCTGAGATTTTCAATGTGATTCAATAGCGATTATGTTAATCAGATATGGACATGTGCACAGACAGCAGAGCTTAAAAACGGGAGCAGATCCTTGAAAATGCTCACTGAAGATAACGAAGTGCATTTTCAGAAGGACACTGCTAAAGTAAGCAGTCTGGCTGTGGATGCTGAAATTACTGAAGGCTTCGAAATAAGAATAAAAACAGATGATTCAGTGACGTACAAAAACTATTTTCTGGAAACAAATTTCCGCTCAGTTTTTGACATCAAGCACAAAACACATAAATACACATGACAACGTGGGAAGCATGGGAGGGCAAGTTCCTCAGTTATTAGTCAAATATGCTGATTTTTGGATTGACTTGCATTAACTCGAGCCAGCTGCAACACTACCAATAACTACATTAGATGCAGTACGATAGATAACACCACACTTCCTGCAGTTAAACCACCAGCTAATCAGACATTCATTGCTGCCTTTAAACACATCATCTGCACAGCAAGGCCACAAAACCTCAGATCTTTGTCATGCGTCGTCGTCGTCGTCGCCTCCAAGGTCAACGGACATCTTGCACTTTCATTTCAGAATCGAATCGCTTTCCAATAACCACGCTGAGAGCGCTGAAATGCAAAAAGGGCAGCGGCAGGCGGGCTCCAACTCAGCTGGTTTTCTTTCACAAAAGTATGAATCTGTTCATGCCCATGTTCGGGGAGGGGCAAAAAAATAAAGTTTATTTCGTTGTCAAGGAAAGCACCACGTGGGAAACATTCTTAATTGCTTCATAACAAACGTACACACACCTCTTGGTGCTCCGCGTGGCACAGTGTGTGCATTTCTATGTAAGGGCTAGATGGTTTTTGCGAGGGAGGAAAAGAAGGCGAGACAGAGGCAGACAGAGAAAAAGAAGAAAACCAGCCAGCTTTTGACACCGGGAGGCAAAGGGTTAAACAAGACCCCGTCGTATTTTCATGCATCTTCTGCTTTTGACAGATGAAAAATGTCAACTGTCCTGTTTGTATTTGGGAGTTTTTGCACTATTCATCTGCTTCATTAGTGCCTGCTGCTCCTAGCCCCTGACAGCTGCCGGCCCCCTGCTCTCAGCGTGTACACACACACACACACACACACACACCTACACACACACACACGAGCATAAAGATGCATACCCCCACACATACACACACACAAAAACACACACTTACTCCTTTTTTCAGACTGTGTCGTCGCAACGGTTTAGATGATTGACTCACTCTCTGACCTCTGAGGCCCCGGTGTGTGAGTGTGAAACTGTGTGTGTGTGTGTGTGTGTGTGTGTGTGTGTGTGTGTGTGTGTGTATGGTTCATTGATATTCGAGAGACATACAATGCACACGCATGCCTGCTGTCTGTCTAAGGGGTGTGAGCTGCTGGTGGCAGAACACACGCACATCCTCGCAAACACACACACACACACACACACACACGCACATGCACACGCGCGCGCACACACACACACACACACACGTACATGTGCGCTTCTATTTTTGTGAGGACCCTCGCTGACATAAAACATTTGCTTAGCCCCTCACCTTAACCTTCACCATCTCTAACTGTATTCCTCATCCAGACCCCGTACCCTCACCTGAACCTCATTTTTAACCCTAAAACTAAGTCTTAATCCTCAAACGTCCCTTTGAAAGTTCCCAAAGTGAGAATTGGCAAAATGGCATCACTGTCCAACAACGTTGTCGCTCCCAAAGTCTCCGGCTCCAGCTGGTGCTCACAGAGAGACACTCTCTCCTTTGTTTCTCGGCTCTTTATCTCGCCGGGTTGTGCTCTCCTCAGCCCAAGCATGTAAAGCTAGCATCGCTGCACGTTGTAAAAGGTCTGGATGGGGCCTTCCACTTTCATTAACATTTATCCTACTCTCTCTCTCTCTCTCTCTCTCTCTATCCAGCTTCTCTCCCCGTATGCCAATTAAAAGGAGCTGCGAGAGGCTCCCGTCTTCTCCCTCCAACCCCCTTCATCCCCAGAGCCTCTCCAGCCTGGGACCGACGGGCTGCTCACAAGTTCTCACTTACTCATTTATAAACACACATATAATTACGGCACATGTCACATCAAAATAAACACCTAAATGTTAACACACGGATGCAAAACGTATGCACATTTTGTGTATTTTTTCTCTCTGCCTTTTGTCTAATGCACACACACACAAAAGCGCGACTGTGCAAGCGAGGAACGCATGACTTTTTTATGTGCTCGTTGGTTCTTCATGTGGTTTTATGATGATATATTAATCAAGGCAATAAGTCACGACGTGGGGACAGTCATTAGACATATACCTACACCCAGTGGAGTCATCACTGCTCTATTTCAACACATTTAAAAGGGAAGAAGGAGAGAAGAAAGAAAGATAAGAGCAAAAAAAAAAAAAAAAAAATGGATGGGTGAGTTGAAAGCATCAGATTGTTCAAGTGGGCTGAACTTTTGAAGAAAATTGATTAAGAATGCATTGTCATGTCCCCGTCTCACTGCGGCTACACTGACCTATCTGACTTAAAACACAAATGTTAAAGGAAAAAAAAAGCTAAATTTCTTAACTTTCTTGCTGTTAGACGCAAAATCTGCAAAAGGAGCCTCAAAGGTTTTAACATTTTCCAGTCAGTTTCTCTAATACTCATTAATAGAAGAACTTTAACTCAAAGAGGGCGAAAAAACTAAAATTAGTTGTTTTGTTGTTGTTGTTTTTTACAGGGGGTTATTGGCTTAATATTTAATAGACAGATATGAGAGCAGCTTTTTATCCAACTCCTGCAACTTTCACAAAATGTAAAGTTCTACTTTTGGATACCATGGCCGTAAAACAGCCGTATAAATGAGCTCATGTTACGAAATGTAATCAATATTTGGGCCCGAAAGCAGCAGACTTGTTTCAGGGCTGACTGAGAGCATGCATAAGTAACAAATGTCCAAAACGTTAACCGAGATTGAGATACTGTACACGAATGGTTTAAGTAGTTTGTTGACGATACTAACACTGTACGAGCTGAAGGGTACCCAGGCTTTGTTTGCAAAAAAAAAAAACAACCTCCCTTTCAGTACCATACAGAGAGCTAGCCACAGGGGCAGCTCATCGCATGCAAACACCAGCTGCTGAGAACCCAGCATTTTGGGGTCTCATAAAACCAACAGCAAAACAAGACGGGAGGGAGTGGAATGAGGCAGGAGGCATGAGACATGGGCACAGTCAGAGGTATGGATGGCTGAGCTCCATACAGGAAGGAGACACGTTCCAGTAAAGCTTTTCAAGATACTCTCCTCCTCTACCAAACGCTGCAACCACAACATGTCTGTACAAGCGGGAGACCTGCAGTGTGTGTGTGCGTAAAAGGCATCTCCTTTACAGGAAACACATTCGGTCTTTGGGAGTTACTAACGCAAGTGTGACGTGGTTTCGACTGTGAACACGATGAAAGAGCGCAAGGAGACTTATTGACTGGCATGCGACCGAACCCCGTCCTCAGCCTAACCGGTCACTCTGGGAGAAAATCCGAATGAGCATCCCTGTTTTCTACGGTGTAGGGGGTTTGGGTGAAGGGCAGGGTCAGATGATGTAATGAGGTTGGACACAAGCAGAAAGGGATCAAACAGAATGGGAGATGAAGATAGACGCAGATACAATGACCAGGTATTGACGGGCGGACCCTTCAGACCCTTACTCAACCCCCGGGCACGAGAATGAAAAATGCAAGCGCTCTCAAATGGAGCCGTTTCACACATAAGGAACCAAACTCCCTGGGATACAAACACACACACATCCGTGGACGCGCACATACACACAAAAAACCAGCACAATGCTCAGCCCCTGCTGTATGTTCAGAGCGAAATCAATGAGTACCGAAGGGATCAGGCGTGGATTTCTATGTGAATTCCTTATGCCTGAAGGTTAAGTGAGGAAAGGAAGGCATATGGAGGGTAACATAGCAGAAGGCAGGAGAATTGAGCAAAGAGGAATGGAGGAGAGAGTTTTGGAGAGAAAGAGATAAGTTTCCTGACACCGAATGCACTGTGGAGCCCTCTTACCAAGAAGTGGAAAGCAAGAGTCTGTTCTTCAAAGAGAATATGCATGGCGTGGTGAGCACTGCTCTGATAACAATAAGGTTGTAAAATCTTTATCTCCACAGGCTCCTTGCATGGCTCACCTTGACCTGATGGCTGGAGTCCTGTCTCTGCTCTTGTACCTATAGTATTTTCTCACCGACTGAACACCTCCTATCTTTCTCTTAGCTCCAGCAATCTATAACCCTGCTCTCGCTATTTGTAATTTTCCCCTTCCAACTGTTCCCCTCTGCTCCAGCTATCTCTCCAGCCTTGTATCTCATCTTTCTTTTCATTCTCTCTTATGGCTTTACCGGCTATGCCCTCACCATTCTCTGGCTTCCTATATTGTTCCTGTATAGATTCCTAAACTTTTTCACCTCACATCTTTATTCCTTGCCTTCTGACCACCTCGGGGAGCAACAAGTCTCATCTATTTTTTCCTCTCCAGCTCTTTCCTTGCTTCTCCTCTTGTCTGGTCTCCGTCTTACTTTCTCAATATGTAAGCCCAGACTGTGATGGCCAAGTAGTTCTCCTAACCGTGAGATGTATAAAAGATCAATGTATTGTGCACTAAGCGCAGTCGGTGCTCGGGTTGCAAAAGCAGTGCTGTGAACATTTCAAAATGGACAGCTTGATCAACAACAACAACAACAGAACCTCCAATGATAATCAAACTGATTCCAATGTAGAGACTGCGTGAAAGACAAAGAAAACTGTCCACATGTGAGGCAAATGATACGGCTTTTACTATTTTTTTTTACTATAGCTGAATCAAAACACCGAAACCACACTCAGTAAAAACGAAACACAACTCACAACTGCATCGAAATCCCCTTAACTGAACAGAACCGTCCAGGCCTGCTGTAATTACGCAACACCGGTACCTGCAGAAACTATGCAACCAGAGTAATATAAGCCAGCAATCTGTTCTTTATTAACAGCAAAAAGTAGCATCTTCCATGTAAACACACACACACGCGCTGCACACACACATAAAGAAGCACAAAAACAGAATGTGACCCACAGCACCCACCGCTCTCAGCCAACCACAGACATGCACTGCCGCGGTGCATTGTGGGGAACTAATTAGCATGAAGGACTGTGGTCTCTGAGCAACCATGACCTGCAAGCTGAGCTCGAACTTCTTCCTTGCGCGTTCTCCACCTCTATGCCTGAGGCGCTGTAGAGAAGGTGTAGTCACTGGTGCGTTGAAATGCAGCCCAAATGATCAGGAACTCGGGGGAGTTAGGAGAGACGAGGGGAGGAAAATGTGGGTATTTCCTTCGCCAGCAGTGTGTTTCTAAGTTTTGTGCCTGCCTGTGTGTATTCAGCGCACGTGAAAGTTGGCAAGGTGCAGCGTCAGATTGACTGCTATCATCCATGTCTATTATTGTTCTGCTCGTCACTCTTTTTTTTCTTTGTTCCCTGCGCTGTGTGCGCTCCTCCAGGGCTTGTCTCCACTCAGTGTGGTCTGCAGCAGAGCCCTGTGGTGTTTTGCTCCTGACTAATCAAACTAGTCAGTGTCACTGGGCAGCCTTATCTAAAACACATGGCCGTGTCAGTTCACTTCACTCACCCGCTTTTCAATGTTTAGCAGGTTCCCAGGCTAAAGAACTTTAGCTCAAAGAGTTAGACGGGCCACAGAGAGGAAAAGAAGAACAAGACAGATCAAGAAACGTGACAGAAAATTAAAATATATTACTACCATGAAAGTATTTTTTAATTTTTCACATTACTACTTTAAGTGAATGTAAAGTGTAACCATGTGGGAAAGTACAGGTCCGGACTGCATTTGTATATTTATATTTTTACAGTCCTCTAATACGCAGGATTGAGAATGGGTTGTTTGTGTATTTGTCTGAGCCGATGTGTTCTCATGTCACTCCTACCTTCGACTGCGAGGTGACAGCGTGTGCACACATTCCCATAGTTTACCTCATAGAGCAGGCATCCTAGCGACCAGATGTCAGATTTGAAGTTGTAGCCGTTTTCATGTATCCTCTCTGGTGACATGTAGTAAGGAGTACCCACTGGAAGACAAGGGAGGGAGACGAGGGAAGAGGAGAGGGAGGAAGGATGAGAAACGGACAGAAAGATATAGAGTGAGGTAGGAGAGGACAACAGGACAAGGAGAGATTGAGCGTTAACATTTTGCATTGTAAACCCATGCTTCCCCCAATTCAACAACATCGCAGCTCACGCACTGCAGGAAGCAAACTGTGACTCACTAAGGTCGGAAGATCTATCTTTTTTTTTTTTTTTAAGCCAGAGTACCATAAAAGGAGAAACTTTAAAGCACACTGCCTGTTTTAATTCTGAAGAAGAAGATATTTAATAAGGTTAGATATCATCAGACGTACCCATACCGTACAAGCAATTGTAAAAGCACCACAAAGCTGCGTACATCTGGACAGAAAACATACCCGAACACGCAAAATATACATAAATCAGTTTTGATTACTGGGGCTCAGTAATGATCTGAAACAGTAGTCAGAGAATGCGCCCAGGGAGCAGCGGTGGAGCCTTAAAAGCTGTCCCGTTTCTGGTTCTGGTTTTGAAACTCAAGAATCCCAAACTGCCATGGCGAATGGCAGAGCTCCAGAAAATCAGACTATCACCCAAGTGGACACAAAGAGGAGCCACAGCTCAACATCACATCCTTAACACGCGGCAGGAAGCTTTGGTGATTTGCTGTTTTCTTAGCCCAACTTGATGGGTGCTCTTTTCTTTTTTCATCTGCTTTCTGTTTATTGTGATTTCCCATGTAAAAGTCTATCAAGCACATCCAGCAGAGGGTTTTTTATCAATCACATATGGTTAAAAGATGGAAGTTTCACCAGCGCTCTAACCTGTACGGAGAAGCTCTCAGACTGCACGTATTCAGTTTACTTCCACACACCCACAGTGGCTCTGCTGAGTTAGTGAGCAACATCAGTAGCATCCCTGCACATGGCAATATGTGTAGGCTACATTGCAGAGCTTGTTGTTTTTTTCCCCCTTAAAACTCCAAAATTCAACGAGTTAGAAATGCAGCGAGACCGACGTTCATCTAAGCTACAAGCACATCTGCACTATATATAAAAACTGACATTGCGTAGATTGAAACATGAACAAATCGAGGAATCTTTCACCAGATGACTTGAATAATAGTTTTTGGTGGCTTTGGGATGTTGACTTAAATCATCAAACAACATGGCGTCGCCTCGTGTAGTGGCCGGAAAATACAATATTTGTGGTGAAAGTCATCCTTTCTGCAGCTGAAATATGTTCATACACACTTAGGTTGTGTTTGTTTTAGTAACCAAATCTTCCTTTTCAGTGTTTCTCTCCTGTTCTGCCCTCGTTTGTGCTGCACTGTGCACATGTGGAGGCCGACAAACCCTTCACTCGGAGTAAATCATGTTCTATGACAGAGTTTTTATGACAGATTTCTCTTGTCGATTTGTTATGGAAAATGAAAACCGTGCATTTTTGTATTTCTATTTTTTTTTTAATCAAGTAGCAAATAGAAAGAGCAGCATGATGTGTTTGTGTTAATTTGCCTTATTCGTGACTATTGTGCATGCAAACATCACAGTACATTGTGCAGCCATAGCTAGAAGCATCCAGCACTGCACCGGGGAATGTTCCCAGGTTTGTAGTCCAATCAAACACCAGCCCATCGTTTCATCGCTCTGTTTCTACATGTGGGGTGGGAGAAAAAAAATGTTGAAAAAGCTCCTGTAACTTATTTGTATGTTACTTCAGACAAAAAGCATCTGTCAAATAAAAAAAATGTAATTCTAACAGCTGAATTAAATTAAATGTTTTTCTTTTTCTTATTACTGTTGTTTTGTTTTTTCAAACAACCCAAACCTAAACAGTCTTGCCTCTGGCATATATACAAAATGTGCGTTGGGAAATAGGTAGACAGAGCTAAGAGGAAGAGTTTTTATAGACAGTAACTGGTAGTTGTTGAGTTTACAGCACGCACAAACAGCTCAAGTGAGCTGGGTAGGTGTGAACAGCTCTCAAGTGGAAAGAACTCAGGAGAAAAGTCAGCTTGCACAAAAAGGGAAGGAAAAAGCCATAACTGCACACTCACTTACAGGACTCACATGTACACACACACACACACACACACACACACACACACACACACACAGACACACACACACACACACACACACACACAGACACACACACACACTCGCACACCAACTCTCCAGAGCCATTCTGCACATTAGCAGGTCTGAGGAAACTCAACTAATGTAATTGCAAT